GGGCATGGCCTCAGGCAGCCAGAAACGGAAGGTGGAAGTGGTGAGGCTTTCCTTGGTGCTGTCTTTCTGGTGGGTCAGCAAATCAGGTAGGAAGGGCAGAGAAACGCTCCCGAGGTTCTTTGTATTTTTCTGTGTAATTGTTCCCCAACAAACACCCATTTATCTTTTTTCTTGGGTCTAGTGAAAAAAATTATACCCTCACCTTCACAGCCTCTGCCTCCTGAGTGCTAGGATTAAAGGTGTGCTCCACCCCCATCGGGAGCCAGTATAGACATTTCATGAAATCCCTGTTTTGATTTAATTTTGGTGGTGTTTTTTGTGTGTGTTTTGTTTTGTTTTGTTTTGTTTTGTTTGAGAAAGGGTCTGTCTACACAGTCCTGTCCTGGAACTCACTCTGTATATCAGATTGGCCTCAGATTCACAGACCCATCTGCCTCTGCCTCTGGAATTCTGGGACTTAACCGCATGTGCCACCGCCATGCCGATTTTTTATTAAAAATTTTAATCACGGATTTTTTTTTTGGCACTAATTTTGATTCATTTAAAATATTCTCTCTGGGCCAAGATAATCAGCAGCACAGACAAATTAGTTCATGCAGTCACTTATTAAATATATATCACCTTAGCTGGACACAGTGACATACACCTGTAAGCCTCGCACTTAAGAGAGAGACAGGACTGTAAGGTCATCTTGGGCTGCATGACACCCAGTTTCAACAAAACCAAGCAAAGACTGTCTGAGGATGTGTGTGGTGGCACACACCTATAATCTTAGCATTCGAAAGGCTACTGCAGAGGATCTTCAGTTCAAGACCAGCCTCAGCTACATAGGGAGGCCTCATCTCTAAGCAGATATGCAATAATTAAATGAATTAAAATGAAAACTGCTGAGTAAGCCACTGTATTTCATCCCCAAAACTTCCAAAAATAAACTGGACAGTGGTGGCACACGCCTTTAATCCCAGCACTCGGGAGGCAGAGGCAGGAGGATCTCTGTGAGTTTGAGGCCAGCCTGGTCTACAGAGCGAGTTCCAGAACAACCAGGGATGTTACATAGAGAAACCCAGTCTCAAAAAAACAAAACAAAAAGTGCATGCTGGTCTTACTGGCCTTGCAGAGGCCCCAGTTCAGTTCCCAGCATTCAAGCAGCTCACACCTGCCTGTTATCGCCAGCGCTGGGGCATCTAACGCCCTCTTCTGGCCACTGTGGGCACTGCGCTCACAAGTATAATCCCTGCATACAGACTCCTATACAGTGGTTTGAATGAAAATGCCCGGTATAGGCTCATGTGTTTGCACGGTTAGTCCCCAGCTGATGAACTGTTGGTAAAGGGTTAGGAAGGATAGCCTTGATGGAGGAGGTGTGTCACTGGACATGGGGTTTGAGATTTCAAAAGCCCATCCTAGACCCAGTGACTTTCTTTGTCTCTCTGCCAGCCGCCTATGGCTAAGGATGCAGCTTCCGGCTATTTCTCTAGCCCTGGTGCCATGCTTCCTGCCACGATGGTCATGAACTAGCTCCTCTGAAACTGTAAGCAAGCCCCCAGTTAAATGCCTTAGTCATGGTGTCTCTTTGCAGCAATATAAGAGTGGCTAAGACAACAAGAATTAACATTTAAAATAAATATTAAAAAATAATTTTAACCTGGATGTGGTGGTGCATATCTTTAATCCCATCCCTTGGAAGGCAGAAGCAGGTGGATCTCTGAATTAGAGGCCAGCCTGGTCTACAGAATGAGTTCTCTAGGACAGCCAGGGCCACACAAAGAAACCTTGTCCATTGATCCCTCTGACTCCCATTAGAGCGGTCAACCCTCTAATGGATTCCACAGGCCTGTGTGATAGCCACTTGGGCCAGTGTGTCCTTTCCACCTTGTGCCTTTCTGGTGGGCTTATGTCCAAGTCAAGAAGGCAGTTCCCTCTCAGCTCAGCACCCCCCCAAGGCAGCAAGCCCACAGCCCTTACGAGCCCCAGCCTTACGCTGGTGATCGATGAGGAGGGTGGCGGCAAAGTAGTGAGCCAGGGCCACGTAGTGGTGGGCCTTCACGTAGGCCACACTGGCCCACGAATACGGGATGTTCTCTTTCACTGGCTCCTGGCTCATGGCTGCGTGCAGCTGCCGGTAGACCTCTGCCACCTGAAATAGACAGGCAAGGAAAGTGGCTCCGGGGCCCTCCCAAGGCTGGCTGCAGAGAAAGAGTCCTTTCTTCTCAGCCAAATCAGTCCCCTGCTGGAGAATGCTCCAGAATGTCGGCATAAAGCCAAGCGAGTCCACCTGCTGTCAGCATCAGCCCTAACAGAGACTCAAGCAGCTGTCATTAGGCTGCTTTTTCAGCTAAGCTGCAGATGGACTCCATGATCCATATCTGAAACACCAGTCCCTGCCAAGCAAACGCGGGCCAGCCATCTTGGCACGTTGCTCAGGTTGTGGGGGAGTTGCTGTGGTGGTCCCCCCTCCCCCCAACCGCCCCGCCGCTCCTAGGCACCTGAACCAGCGGATCCTGCCTACCCAGAAGTCAGAGGAACTAAGAAGCCTTTACCTTGGCGGCCTCCTGAGCCACCTTTACCAGCATGAAGAACTCATTCTGGATCCCCGGAAGGCAGACCTTCTCAAACATGCTTTCTTGGGCTTGGGCAAGCATCATTTTGACCAGCACGCTGAGCATGGCAGGGCTCATGTCATAACTTGGAGTATGCGTGAATGTCTCCTTCAGGTAGTTTAGGACCCCTAGAATGAGAATTTGTTGCTCTTTAATAGGAAGTCACACTTATTTTATCATGCTGCTGTAGAGAAAGAAGAAAGAAAACACAGCTGGATTGGGGGTATCACTCATCAGTGCTTGGATAGCACACAGGAGGCCTTGAGTATGAGCCAGTAACTATGCAAAGAAAACTCATCCATCCATCCATCCATCCATCCATCCATCCATCCATCCATCCATCCATCCATCCATCCATCCATCCATCCATCCATCCATCCATCCATCCATCCATCCATCCATCCATCCATCCATCCATCCATCCATCCATCCATCCATCCATCCATCCATCCATCCATCCATCCATCCAATGTGCATATACAATTTATAATATATTTATAGCATATTTCTCTTATAGATGCACACATACACACACCTATACGTGGCAGACATCTATAATTTATATATGTAAAGGTGGCACACACAATCCCAAAGCATCTTGAAAAATGTGTATTTTGCCAGGTGTGTGGTACACACCTTTGATCCCAGCACTAGGGAAGCTGAAATAGGATGGCGGAATGTTCAAAGACATTCTGGGCTATATGTAAGTCAAGACTCTATCCGACTCTCAGTTGCCATGCTAGCTAGCCGCTCCGCTCCTTTGTGGAGACCTAAATGACTGCGTGGAAAACCTGACTGCTACTTGGACACCCAGGCTCACTGCAGCTCTGGTCCCAATAGCCAACAGGTTTACCACTCCAAATGCCCACTGGTGGATTAACAGGTTATCAAAATATCTACACACACACACACACACACACAGTGGAATATTCTTCAGCCTTAAAAAAAAAAAAAATAGAGGAAAAGCTCAGTGGCACAGTGTGTGTTTGCAATGTGAGAGGCTCCGGGTTCGAGTCCCAGTGCCGTACACAAGTCAAATGAGATGAGCCAAACGTGGTGGTCCTTAATGTCAGCACTGGGGAGATAGAGGGAGGGAGGATCTCCGTGAGTTCCAAGCCAGTCTGGTCTACAGAGTGAATTTCAGGCCTGCCAGGGCTGAGGGCTACGTGGTAGGACTGCAACGCAGATGTGTGGACCACATGAAGACTTGTTGCTGAGGACAGTAAGCCAGCCGAGGAACGACAGGGTTCCATTTGGTGAGGTTCCTGGAATAGCCACACTCAGAGGCACAGAGTAGAACAGAGGTCAGTAGGAGCCGTAGGAACAAGGAAAGGGACGTTGCGTCTCCCAGGCACAGAGATGCCAGGTGCGGTGACACACCCCTACAGCCCGGCCACTGGGAGGGTATAGCAGAAAGATGCCCAGATGGCCCTGTCTCGATAGGCGAATAAAAGCAGGAAAAGATAGGGTCCACTCCAGTGTGCATGATGAGGCCACGCTGGAGCCGGAGGGTGGTGATGGCTGGCTGCCCTGGTACGCGATGCAGCTAAGCCACACACTTAAAAAAAAAAAAAATGCCAACAAGGTAATTGCATCTCATGCATATTTACCACAGCAAGGAATAATTAAAACTCTAATTTATGATATCTATACCTCATCACAATTTGTTTTAAATGGATTCTCTTCTAAGACATTTACATTTACAAATGCATGAAGCAAGGGGACCCGGTGACTCGCCTTTGTTTCTGTCTCACCTGGGACATTCCATCCATGACGAGGCATGTGATGGAGAAAACAGAAAAGCCAGTGGAGTGAGTGAGAGGTACCAGGGCTTTCCCCTGGGGAAGCCTCTACTGGACATGCCCACGCTGCCACCCTGGACTGACTTTGTGACACTTAGAAAAGTTAACTGTGGGACTGGAGAGATGGCTTAGAGGTTAAGAGCACTAACTGTTCTTCCAGAGGTCCTGAATTCAATTCCCAGCAACCATATGGTGGCTCTCAACCATCTGTTATGAGATCTGGCGCCCTCTTCTGGCATGTAGGCAGAACACTGTATACATAATAAATAAAAATAAATCTTTAAAAAAAAAAGTTAACTGTGCCACTGTTAACCTGGGCTGCCTGCATCCCATCCAACTGGTTCCCCTGGTTTTGCTGCCCCAGAGAAGGATGGTGTCCGCTCCAGGCTGCTGGTCCCCTCCCTTCCTCCATCCCAGACTGGCCTGTCACTAAGTTTCTTTGTTTGTATTTCTGAAGCCCGGGAGGCAGGCCACAAAGTGTGACTCCCTAAGACTCCTCAGAGGCCAGCCGCAATTAAAACAAACCTGCTGTCCCAGCATGCCAGAGACTTGAGAGTTCGAGGCCAGCCTGAGCTAAATATTAACAAGACCTTGCCTTCATGTGTCAAAAGGGCGAAGCTGTGGTCCTTCACAGGTTTTAGAGTCATGTTTCCAAGCAGGTTCACGCAGGGAGAGGAAATGACGAGCACAGAAGGCAAAAGGGTGCTAGGCTAGAGTGGCAAGTGGTGGCCCACGCTTGGAATAGTGGCACTCAGGAAGCCGAGGCATGAACATCACCTCAAGTTCAAAATCAGCCCCGCCCACATAGTGAGTTAAAGGCCCCACCTAGTGACTATTTCTCAAAGGAATAAAAAAAAAAAAGCTCTCAAACTGGCTTCGTGGAGGGTCACCCTGTGGTCTACATCCAACTGTCATTATTGCCTTCCATTCTGCAGACATAGGGCCCACTAGACAGGAGCAACACAGAGCCCTCTGATACCTCCATCAGCGCCAGGCTGGCCCGCTGGCCCAACTCTCATGACCCAGCCCTTAAAGCTTGGTGCTAAGCTAGTTTTCTTCTTTGTCCCTGATTCTGGTTCATAACAGGCTGAGCTTTAAGGGTCATGGGGAGAAAAAGCTGGGCAGTAGCATATGCCTTTAATCCCAGCACTCGGGAGGCAGAGGCAGGTGGATCTCTGTGAGTTTGAGACCAGCTCTGGTCTACAAGAGTGAGTTCCAGGACAGCCTCCAAAGCCACAGAGAAACCCTGTCCCGAAAAACCAAAAAAGAAAAAAAGCCGATTGTGGCAGCTCACATCTGTCCTCTTAGCAGGAGGACCCCAAGTTCCAGGCCAACCTGGACGACAAAACAAGTTCCGCACCCAGCACTGTAGAAAAAGCAGCTGGGAGTGTTCGTCAGTCTCTGAGAAGGCCAGAAGCAGCAGGCTCATGGTGCATGTTACCCGGCGGCTCTGAAATCAGCCACCGCAGGCTTTGCAAACATGGCCGGTTAAGCAGTAATACAGAAGTGTAGATAATAACAGTAATTCCCTTTATCTGAGGTTCAGCTTTGTTCTGGCTCAGTTACCTTCAGCCAACTGTAATAGGATATTGCATGGAAAATTCCAGAAACAAGCAATCCATAACATTTATCACATTGTATGGTTATCATTGGTCTCTTTTATTGTTGGTTGTTAATCTCTGACTGTGCCCAATCTGTCTCAGATGTGGACAATATACGGGGATTCTTTCTTTTGTCTTTCTTTCCTCCTCCTTTCCCCATCCCCTTCATTTGTCTGCATCACGGGGGTCAAACCTAGAGCCTCACCCTTGCTAGGCAAATGTCCTGTCCCTGAGCTCCGACCCCAGCTCTCATACAGGCTTCAGAACCGTTTTTAGTTTCACGCAGGCATGTGTTGGAACATGTCCCCTTAGACACAGATTACTGTATGGACCTGTATAGTAACAAGTAATAGAAAATTCTAAAGGCTACATCTTCACTAGTGAGGGCAAGCGCCTGTATTCCCATCATTGAGAACTATTCCCGGCCATCACTGAAGCCACTCACCTGGGAAAGATTAATCATTAACTACAAGTCTCCCTGTGCATTCGAGCCCTGCTGACTGAGATCACGTGATGCCAACCTGACAAAGAGGTTACGCAGTCACTGCTTCCTCCTCCATGTGTGTGTGATATTATAGATTCACCGTAGGGGCTCCCTCAAGCCAGGCAATCTCTGGAGCCGCGCCCCCAGCTCTGGTCAGACTTGTAAGGCATGAGTACTTGGTGGGTCTACAGAGGACCTGAGCAAGACTCTTTTCAGTCTGGGGACAGAAGCAGCACCATCGGTGCCACCTGGCGGGTCCGAGACCGTAGCTCGGCTGCTGGGGAGGATTCGTACCTGCAGCTCTCTGGAAGGCATCCACCGCGCTCTCCAGCCCAGTCTGTGTCTGCCGGTTACAGCGGGTCCCAATCTGGGTGTACAGCGCTCCCATGTTGAACAGAATGCTGGCCTTCTCCAGCAGCAAGTTCTGCTGGCTGACCGGAACCCCGGTGAGGGAATCATACCTATGGAAAACAAACAGGTCCCGGTCATACAGATGACTTGGCTAATTAACGCCACTTCTGGGCACACGAGAAGAGAAACTCACTTCTCATATGAAATTCAAAGATGCACAGACAATCAGGCTTTTGTTTCCAAGCAAGATGACAGGTCTGATTGTATGGGGTTCAAACCCATCTTCTCAGCACTTGGGAGGCTGAGGCAGGAGGACCATGAATTTGGAGCCAGCCTGGACTATACAGAAAGAACTATCTCAACAGAAAAAGGAAAAAAAAAAAAAAAAATCCCCGAACAGAGCATAGCAACCACCCTGGGAGGGCCTATGGGCCATAACAACCAGTTGACCAATCAACACAGGGCAAGGGGCACACCAATCGTGAGCCTGTGCGTACCCCTAGACACTCCCCTTACACTGCCCTACAAGATCTCTCGGCAGCCGATTCAAACTGTCTTTTGTAGCCAACCGCCATGGTGGGTGGACAAAAGACCCGAGCTAACTTGGGGTTAGCTCTTTAAATTACAATAAAGCCTCATGCAGTTTGCAGAAAAAAAAAAAAAAATCCCCACAAGCCAGACCTGGTGGCTCCTGCCTATCTTCCTGGCCCCCTCTCTAGGCTGAGGCAGGAGGATTGTGAGTTTGACTGTCTGGGCCACCTATCAAGAACCTTTCTCAAGGAACTATATTAATCTTTAAATAATCATGGAAAAGAGTCAAAAGCTTTGTTTCAAGTTTTAAGATCTGCTTCCGGGGGTACATCTATAATCACAGCACTTGGGCTGCAGAGACAAGAAGACAGCAGCCAGTTTGAGGTCCGTTTAAGAGGATCTTGGGACTACATAGTGAAAGCCCGTCTTTCTTTTCGATGCCCTCGTCACTGGGATCAGACTCAGTTTCAGTTCACACCCATCTACCAGGTAAACAAGAGCCCCACCCATGTGGCGGGTGGGCAGGAAAAACTCTTCCCAAAGCCCAGCTGGATGAAGTAAGACATGAGCCCCTGGAACCCCGCCTCGTCCCTGCCCTGTATGAAAAAAGAATCTCAAAAAAAATTTTTTTTTGTCTTGCTTCTCATTGGTTCCACCTGAGGGGCTCTGGTTTTCCCTCAATGACAAAATGAACACACACACAAAACGGCCCCCTTTTCGAGGCTTGTTTGTTTTGAGAAGCAAGAGGCCACAGTGGCAGCTTCCCTTCTCTGGGTCTGTACACAAACAGCAGTTCACAGACAGACCCAGCCCCTGGAACCTGCTAGGCAAGCGCCACAGTCAGAATGGGGAGGACACAGCAGAGGGGACCCCAGAGAGCACCTACCAGGTAAACAAGAGCCCCATGTGATGGGTGGGCGGGAAAAACCTGCTCTCCACAAAGCCCAGCTGGATGAAATAAGACATGAGCAGCTCGACCCCTGCCTCGTCCCTGCTGGGTGTTCGACAAGCCTGGAAAGGAAGACATCAGCAAGGTGAGAATCGTGGCCCAGGACCCATGCCTGAACACTCAGATACCTTGCTGTGGGGGTCATGAACTCAAGGAGAGATAGCAGAGCCGACAGAGACAGAGTGAGGAATCCTGGGATCCAGCCTGGGCCCAACATGGGCAGGTCTCACCCCTGCTACGGTTTTCTGGTACAGCAAGTGCCCTGGATGACCTGAGAGCTCCTTTCTGTGCCCAGCATACTGGACTCCCTAAGGCTGTAAGAGTCAGTCATGGGATGTCCTGACTCCCCGCACTTACCTGCCGCAGGTCCATAAGGTCTGCAATGTCATCTTCGTACAAATAGCTGTCTTCACTGTAATGTTCCAAGATAAAATCCTGTAGAAAAAAAGAGATAAGGTAAGTCAACAGAGCCCATGCACTCATGAACCCACCGAAGCTGTAGTTGCCTGTCCAAGACCAACCCAGTCACTGGTCCAGCAGAGCAGAGAGAGTGCGTAAACTTCCACCCTAACTGCCAAGCTCCCTGGCTTCCGAGAGAGGGAGAGTTGGTTTTCTCTCTCTTTCTTTCTTCCTTTTTTTTTTTTTTTTTTTTTTTTTTTTTCGACAAAGGGTTTCTTTGTGTTTTT